GCCTTGAGCAGGAAGGATATGAGCATAGAGGGACCCCGGTTCAGGGCAGGTTGAAGAACCACTCTCGGGACAGAAACGGACTGAAGAAAAGCAACAGTCCTGTCCACCACAATATACTGGCGCCAGTGCCAGGACCGGCCCCTGCCCGTCAAAGAGCCCTTCAGAATTGGCACCAACAAAACCTGATAGAACATCTCCAAGCAAATGAAGATATTCCTAAAGCAGTTCCACAGGAGAATTTATTCAAAGAGGCTTGTGAGAAACACTCACAAGATTTGGAGATGATGGCCGATGACAATATAGAAGAGTCTACAGCAAGGTAGGAGTTTTGGGTCGCATAAGTGAATGCCGTAGCCTCAGTTAACTTATCTTCTAAGACCTCACTCAGTGTTTAAATAGGAAGTGTTGCATATAATAATCTGAATTTATAGCCAATCAGGGTCTGCAAGAAACTCCCTCCTCTAAGTCTATAAAGGAAAAAAAGTAATAATGCATGTTCTGCTAATTAATGGAAACTTATTTTTAGGGACTGTGAGTTTACTTCTATTCCATTACTGTTCCATTAAGAATTCTGTTTCAGTTCTAAGAGCTGTTCATTATCATTACTAATTTTCTGTGAATTTCCTCTTTAGGTTAGATGTTCAGATAGTTGTGATTCTTTATGCCAGTGCCATGAATCACGTAATCACTCTCTGACTTAGTTAAGCCAACTTTGGCATAATAAAAGCTCTGGGTGTTCAGCACATCCTTATCTGTTTCCTACTATGTTCTTGCTATATTGACTCTTGAAACTATGCTATCTTTATGGGAGAATATGGAACAGTTCCCTTTGGCATTTGAGATGCATTTCAAGTTGGAGTACTTTCATAGCTAGCTTGCAATAATGAATCTATTCTGCATAAAGCAAGGAATAAAATGATGCTTACAAGAAAGAGATCTTAAAGTAGGAAATGGAACATGTCGGCTATTTCAGGGCAATAAAATGGAATAAGTGGTGATAATGTAGTGTAGTTTGGGTATAGCTCATAAAAACATCTTTATTTTTGTGTCCATCAGCATTATTTGAGTGAAAAAAAATTATGTCGTGTCCTATAATGTTGCCAACTATAACTTAATATAATGAATCTTTTACCTCTGTGGCTTTTATATTCCTGATGTGTTTTAGACACAATTGATGATCTTGGCAATGTAATTAAATGCAGAGTGCTATTGACAAAAAAGTATTTTTGATGTGTTCTAAGTCATAGAACAGTTGAACATTGGAACTAGGCTAATTTATTGGAAATCTGGATATTTGGCCTATTGTGTCTTTACATAAGTAGAGAAGAGAAAGCCTGGCAAATTTGCTTCTTGATAAAAGTTTTCCCAATATATCTGTGTGACAGTGTCTTGCTTCCATAAATTATAAAACATAGTACTAGAATAAAAAGCAGCATAATAACATTATGGCAAAAGACAAGTCAACTCTGTAAAATGACGCCTTTATTTGAATTCAGTTTTGTTTATGTGTAAGGATGCAAAAGACTCTGTGAAATTACTTTCAGTATAGTATTAGATTGCCTGAGATATAGAATTATTTAAAAAATAAAGTGCGTGTGTGATATTTTTATGCATTTTGTGATTACCCAAGGAAATGCTATGTAACTGTTGGGAATGCAAATTATACTTAGTACAACTAACAGGACTTTCAAAGTAATGTAGACTCCATAGTTATAGTTTCAGTAGATATTCAAATTCTCACTCCTCACCATGAACAGCAAATTTTAAACCTGATGAATTTGAAAGCTAATAAATACATCTAGCTTTGTTGTAAATAAGCTCAAATTATTACTGTGACATCCTAACAAAATTCTTTGAGGATCTATGAACGGATTTTCAATGTGGGAATTTCTATAACACATTATACGTATTTCTCTTTTGATTTTATTCCTGATATTTTTCATGTTTGAAGCAAATATTTTATTAATAATCCTATAGTTTCAGTGGAAAGTCAATATTTTCATAAAATAAATACAGGAAGTATCTTAAAATAAATATGGGAAAACACGTTTAATGATGTGCCAAGGAATAGGTGGAAGGAAAGAGGGTAAATTCAGGACACTAGTAATTGAAATATGATGGTTTATTGCCCTCTCATTACCCATTCTAAATCTCCATATCTTGGTCCAGGAGAGTCTGACAAGGAGTTTTCTGATGTGTTGCTTCTCTAATGCCTATCATCTTCAACAAGGTTATGGAGCAGAAGAAAGCTATCCTGACAAGTTGGCAGCAACTTGCGATCACCTCGGTGTAACTCTTGTGGCTCAGAATAAGAAAACAGTAGTCAGTTTGGAGAATTATCACACTTGTATAAGATGGGCTCTGACACCTGAGGCAAAGCAATAGTCTTTAAGACATCCTACTTTCTTCTAATAATATGGGGAATGGACAGAGAATGGACGAAATTACAAACATGCGTTATAGCAGAATAATTCATCATTAATCCTAAAAAGGATAACAAAGTTCATATATTAATTATATTAATATTTTGCTTGGAAAACTAAAAATCCAGATATATTCCTATGCGGTTGAATTATAAGTATTTAATGCATTTAGGAATAGCCCTGTATTGTATTCCCATGCTGAGACTATGCACATTCCAGTATACCTGTCATCAGAGACTTGGGCTCGATTATCATTTTCTTTTTGTCCTAGTTATCTATTAACTCTGCATGTTTGCCTCTCCATAACTGCCTTGCTCAAATGTCCCTTTTTTCCCCTCATGTCAATCATAGTGTTCCAATCAAAATAACTTTTTGTTTTAATCCCTCTGTTGTGATTTTCCTGGCTTAGCCTCTCAAGCACAGGCACAGACCACCACATCTGGCTTTTAGAGTGGGCTGCAAATTGAACTGAGGCCTCCTATGTGGCCTCAACCTGCAAAGCAGCAGCATCTTACCAATGCGTGCCTCTGTGGTTGGGTCAAATATTTTAACAATGTATTATGCTCATTCTTCATATATGATAGAATATTTATAGAATCATATATGCGTGTGTGTATGTGAATGTATGTGCAGTTGCTCATGAAGAGATGATTTCGTAGTTGAGTGCCAGTGTCATGATATTAACATTATGCTAAACTTCATTTAAAATAAACAAAAGCAGTTATCTCCTCATTGTCTTTCAAGACATCGAATCTAATGCAGATGACTTGTTTATCAGCCCTACACTTGCCCTAGTACAAAACTGGAAGTTCATAGAGCTGCTTAGCTATAAGGAATTGATGGGCATGGGGATCATGCCGTTACATTAACTGTGAGGGTTTTAGGTTTCTGCATAATCTATTAACCATATTGATATGTGATTTTGTATGTTTTTGTCAGTGTTGCACTGTTAGAGACTCCAAATTCTCTTTCTACTTGAGCCCTTTCCAATTTTCAAGTGAGGTTTGCTTAGAAAAAAGAGCTGTTCATGTTCTATAAATTGATATCCCTAAGAAAGGAGGACTAGATTAATAAAACTTAGAATTCAGCTATTTATTCCATAACTATTTTTTGAGAGAGGTTTTTGCTATAGGATGTGTGTACTTGCCAGAGAGACAGAGAGAGACAGAGATACAGAAAGCATCCTTTAGTGATGGTCATGCCACAATCCCTTCTCCTTCATTCTCCTCTTAAGATTTTGGGCATGTACACATACTTGCCCAGTGTGGGTTTTAACCATGTCCAGGACTCAAACTGTGATTGACTATGTGGGAATCCAACAATATGCCATCTGCTGGCCCCTTATTCCACAGATATTGAATACCAGTTTTCCGTAGTGCCAGGCACTATTCTAGGTGTTAGGCATAAAATAGGATCAAAATAGAAAACTACTTTCATGGAATATATGTTCTAATGCAGACATAGAGGTAATAAAAAAATAAGCTAAACATAAATTATTTATTTATTTATTTATTGGAGAGGTTTTTGCTATAGGGTGTGTGTGCTTGCCAGAAAGAGAGAGAGACAGAGAGATAGAAAGTGAGAAATCAACCCCCGGGGGGATGGCCACGCTGCAATCCCTTCTCCTCCATTCTCTTCTCGGGATCTTGGGCACACACACACATGTGCCCAGCGTGAGTTTTAAGCCACTGGGTCCAGGACTCGAACTGCGGTCGACTACATGGGAGTTCAGCAACATAGCCATTGCGCTAACTACTGGTCCCAACATATATTATTTAAATGCTTATAATTAATTAGATGGACTAGAGTGAAGGAGGGGGTACTCTTTCAGATGGAGAGATCTCATTCCGATAAGGTAACATTTAAGCAGAGATTTAACAAAAGTAAAGGAAGAGAAAGGATGTCTGGCTTAAGAATTTGAAGAAGTGAAATGTTACTGTGCCACAGGGGTGTCCTCAACTACCATACATTTTTTTCTATACAAATCAATGCCACATGTTCCCACACAGATCATTGATTAATGTCCAAAACATCTCTTAACTTATTGGTGAACCAAAAACTATACCCTACCCTCTTGTTCATTATATTGATTTTTAAGATCAAATGCAGGAGCCAGTAGGTGCCATGATGGTTAAGGAACTGGACTCCCACATGGCTGACCACGATTCAAGTTCTGGACCTGCTGTCCTATAAATCATGCTGGGTGCACATCTGTGCATACCCAAAATCCCTGGGGGAGAATGGAGGAGAATAGATTGCAGCATGGCCATCCCCCCTAGGGAGCAATTTCTCACTTTCCTTCTCACTGTCTCTCACTGGCCAATGCATGCGCCATATGGCAAAAACCTTATAAAAAAAAAACTTGGGGTCAATAGATGACATAATGGTTACATTGCTGGACTCCCACATGGCTAACTGTGGTTTGAGTTCCAAACGTGGTCACTTGAAAATCACATCAGGTATGTGTATGTGCATGCTCAAGATCCCAGGCTGAAAATGGAGAAGGGATTGCAGCGTGGCCATCCCCCTGGAGGGTGATTTCTTACTTTTCCTCTCACTGTCTCTCTCTCTATCTCTCTTCCTGTTGAGCCCACACACCCATGGCAAAAACAAAAACAAACAAACAAACAAACAAAAAGTCACGTGTATTGCCCATGGACACAGAGGTGACTTTCCAGTCATCCTGTAACCATGATTCCATTTTGTCCTCTGTGGATCTGGCTATTCAGTCCATATGCCTCATGTACAGAGGCCTATGCCCTTTGTGGTAAACAGACACATGATAGTGTATTTGCTTTCTTAACAGAACTATTCAGTTAGGGCCAAAAGTATTGTGGGTCTTCATCCCATCTGTGATATGGAAACTGCTTAGGAAATATTCATGCATAAGGGAAAT